GGATCTTTGACACCTGTAGTACAGCAGGTGCATGGAAAAAATAGTGGGACCTTCTATGTGCTGGGCAATTAGATACAGTATTTTAGTCAAGTCACAGAAGTGTCCTATGAAATAGGACACATCTATGGAGAAGCGTGGCCTCCTACCAGGAAGGCTCCAAGGCTCTTGGAGCCGGAGGGTCCCATGCTTAGACCTCTGAGCACAATCCTCTCCCCTAGGTTTTCCTCCCACCCTGGATGGTGGACGTGCTCTCCCATGCTCCCACCCATCACAGAGCCATTCCAGGACAAGCATGGACCAAGCTGCTGGGCCAGCTTGTCTTGGCCACTGACTACTCCTCCTCATCCCTGGTGGTTGCCTAAGCAGGTGGCTGTCCTGCTGGAGGCCAAGCAGACACGGGCCAGCACGGGTCACTCCAGGCCAGGGGTCGCTCCCTGCCACGCTGCACGGCTGTCTGAGGAGGAGACTGGAGGGGCAGGGCTGGGCTGGTGTGGGCTTCCTGCAGAGTCGTGGGCTTGGCTCCCTCTCTGGCCAGCCCAGTGGAAACAGGCCTGTGAGTTGGCGGTGTGCAGCTGAGGCCTGGACAGCTGGGTGGAGAAGGATAGGAAAGGAGGCTCTGCAGACTGGGGCTTTTGCTGAGTTTATACTTGTTCATCCATTTAAATGGTGATCTTTAACATGTGTTAAGCACCTGTACTTTCTACCTATCATCACACTGGATCCCCACCTTGACCATGACATCCCCACATTCCCTTTGCTGTTAAGTCGTCCACTCAAAGACCACACACTTGGGAAATGACCAGAGCTAGCCTTGAACCTTTGTCCAACATTGAGAGTGTTTTCCTCAGATAGCTCTTTCCTTTACCAAATCTCCAGATGGCCACCTATTGACCAGTACCTTAGGGTGACTGGGGTAGCTGGGGGCATGGGAGGGACACTAGCATTTGCCAGTTGTAATTCAAACCAGCCTCAAAGTGGTCATGCCCACTCTCTGTACAGTTCCATTCGAGGCTTGTCCTGCCTCTTCCTGGTGTGCCTCTTGGGTCTAGAACTCTACCTTTGATTATCATTTTCCCACTCTATAGAACAAGGGTGATGGATGGACCTGTGGTTAATATTAGAATCCTTCTGGGAATGAAAATTCCCAGAATTGCCCTGTGGAAGCCTAGGGCCAGTTTATGTGGGATTCCAGGTAGAACCTGTCTGCCCACACCTCCTCCCTCCTAGCCCACAGTTTCCAGTTGTTGTTGATTGCTATTGATCGAACATGACTCATAGAGACGCTACGAACAGAAGACCTAATGCCTTTCCATAACTATTGTCATTTCTCCAAGTTCATAGAGTTTCTAGAGGCATGTGGTTTAGGGAATGGATGCCACTCCTGCTTCCAAACCTGTTTTACAACTGGGAGCTCTACCAAACACTGTCCACATTGGGAAACCATTCTGATATTTGATACCCCAATGGTACAAGGTTCAGCCTCACAGCAAACCCCAGTTACTTCATACTGCACATTGACAAAGAGTGATGTACAAAGTGGAAGAGTGTTCCTCCAGATATAACAGCACTAGTCTCAGTTACCAGTGGTTAAGTGTTGTCAAGTCGAATACAACTGAGAGTAAGCTTTGCACAAAAGACCTGAACTCTTTAACATCATTTCTGTACATTTACAGAATTTAGAGAGTTTATAGAGCCTCTGGAGGCATCTAGTTCAGGAAGTGGATGCCATTCCTGCTTCCCAACATAAATCAATCTGGAAGCTCATCCAAACACTCTACATGATGGGTAACCATTATGGTATGTGACAAGACTATAGAACAGCGTGCAGCATCACAGCAACACCAAGTTGTTCAGTTCAAGAAATAGACAAAAGATCACTGTGTCGTTTAAGGAATATTCATTCAAAAATTAATAAATTTGGCCTGAAGACCGCAGGCACCCACTCTTGGAGGGAAAAGAGCAGTAACACACATCCAACACGATCCCCAAAACTTCTCTTACGTGGCTAGCTAGCAGCCAAACTCCCAGAGTGGAATCTCCAGGCCCTGGCCTGCAGTCCCATCCCCTCACACTAAGGGGATTTGAAAGCCACACCCTCAAACAGACCTCCACCCTTGGCCAAAGGCTCGAGGACACCTGCTCTTGGGAGTAAAAGAGCAATAACACAACATTCAACACGACCTCAAAAACTTCGCTTACGTGACCAACACGATTGCTATCAAGTTGCTATCTAGCAGCTAAACTCCCAATTATGACGTATATATTTGGAAAATATTGAGAACACTTCTGTGTTGCACCTTTTATGTATTTATTTATTTTTTACTTAACATACTATGTTGGTAATCTCACATTAGCACTGGTGGAATTATATCGTCTTAAATGCTGCACTGTAACTACAGATCTATCATAATTTATTATTTATCATTAGCAAAGAATTTGGGAATTCATTAATGTTAAATAATACTGCAATGAATATTCTTGAATAGACTTTGCATTTCACGGATCTGAGAAACCTACATGAAGGGAGAAGGGCATCAGAACTGGAAGAAGACTTCTCAATAGCCTGTGATATACAAGTGACACAACCTTGCTTTCTGATCATGAGGAGGATTTGAACATTGACAGAAGAAGACCATAGACTACGGCCTTCAGTACGGATCACACCTCAATGTAAAGGCAACAAAAATTCTTACCACTGAACCAGAAGCAACATGATGATACTTGGAGAAAAGATTGATGTTGCCAAGGATTTAATTTTACTTGGATTCACTCGCAACATCCTTGGAAACAACAGTCACAAAAGCAAAAGATGTATTGCATCAGGCAGATGTGCTGTCAAGGACTTCTTTAGCATGCTGAAGATCAAGAATGTTAAAGATTGAGGTGTGCCTGGCCCAAGCCGTGGCATTTTCTATTGTTTCATGTACTTGTGAGAATTAGACCATGAGTAAGAAAGACTAAAGAAGAATTGATTCATTTGAATTGTGATTCTGGCAAAGAGTTTTGAGCACACCATGACTGCCAAAAGAACAAACAAATCAATGTTGGAGGAAGTACAGCCGGCTTGCTCCTGAAAGGAAAGGATGGTGAGACTTTGTCCCACACACTTTGGGCAAGTTATCAGGAGTCCCTGAAGAAGGCCATCGTGCTTGGGAAGGTGGAGGGTCAGAGAAAGAGACGAAGACCCTCAATAGGATGAGGGAGAGAACTGTTTAAAAGGGATATATGATTAGGTGTTATTATCATGACAGGAGTCCAGAATGAAGGCTGCATAATGGAGTGGACCTGGGGTGAGGGATTGTGTAACAATGAAAGAATTTTTCTTTTACTTT